AGATTTTCTCGTAGCCCTTGATTTTGACAATTTCCGCGGGCATTTTTGCGTCGGAACATTTCGTCTCTTGGAAACAAATGACGTCTGGAGAAAATTTATCGATGAACTCGGTTCCTTTTTTCTGCAATTCATGCGAAGGAAGAACACAGAACGAAATTTTGCACAGAGTCGACCAAAGAGAATTACGAACAGTAGCGGTTCACGCGAACACAATTACATATTTAGTCAACCAATTATCTTCGAAAAAATGTCCATCATTTTGATTTCAACTGTGGAAAAATTACAGCGCATTTAAATTGAATACAATACGAAGGAATGTTTCCACGAGCTTCTCAACAAGAATTAAATGCATTTAAACACAATTCGTCCTCAATTATCGAATGAAATCCCGTGACTAATAAATCATTGAATGAACAAACAAATTTACCAACATTCACATTTGAATATTTAGTCATCAATACTCTGAAATAATGTCCACGATTTCGAATCAGAGAGAAAAAGTAATGCGGATTTAATTTACATACAAAACAAAACAAAAAATTCTAACGTGAGTTTCAACAAAATTCGACAGCATTCAAACAAAATTTATCCTCGAGTCGAATGAAATCATGAGACTAATCGATCATTGAATGTGCAAACAAATAAAAAAATTATATAAATATATAATTTGAAACTTTAGTCAAACAATTTTATTTTAAATAATGTCCACAATTTTTACTTCAACTGCGGAAAAGTACGGTCATGCGAATTTTAAAACAAAAAACCGTGTCACACACTTCTCAACCAAATTCTAATGCATTTTAGCATAGTTCGTCCTCGATCCGAATTACATCACGAGACTAATGGATCATTAAATATAGCAACAAATTTCATCTCTAGAGAAGAATGGAAATTCCGGGATAATTCCTGAGTGTTGAGTCAATCGTTTTAAAGGGAATAAATTCACTTTTTTTGGGTCACGTGTCACTCAATCAATTTTTCACTTGAATCGTGGAAGCACTGAAACTGACCTTGACCCAGGCTCGCATTCCAGCCACATTCCAGCTGACAATAGTGAAATTCGCTCCTTCTTTGGTAGGAAGTCCTTCTACGGGTTCTTCGTCTGTCTTCACCTTCTTGGCAGGTTTCTCAGAGACATTCTGAGGGTATTAAACAATATGCACATCAAATCCCGCAAGGGATAGAAAAAAATTTATTGGCAAGCAAAAATATTACCTGTTTTCGCTTTGGCATTTTTGGCACGAAGCTGGTCACGGATTGGAAGCGCGATTCACACACGAACCTGAGAATTCGAGCCAGATTTCGGAAACGAACTAAGCACAGGAATTTTGAAAATCTTCGAAACAACATAATCGAGCGAATCTTCCAGAGAAACGAGTTCGCACTCAGTCCGCAAAAGAATCATTCGATGGCATATCACATGAAACCGTCCTCAGAGATCTGTAATGAATTCCTCACGATAACATCTCAAAAATATTAATTCGAAATCATGTGCCAAAACTTACCCACGTCAGGCGATGTTCAGAAGGTCTCAGCCGAATGAGCGGAAAAACTTCTTGAAATGCTCCACGAGTTGGTGCTGAAAAATAAGCGCAGGGACCAACACAGGTTTGCCAAATGTTCTTGATCGCAGAACTTAAAAAGAAAGCTCTTAACGGTCAGAAAATGTACAATTACGAACACAAAACTTGAGTTATATTACGGTTCTAAAATATTGTAACAGAAGTACAGGCCAAACCTCGATTTCGTCTCGACCTTTCGGGGGAAAGAATCCGTAATAGGCTGTGCATCAGACGTGTATTATCAATAACCAGAAGTACCCTGACAGTTGCAGCAATAGAAAATTTGAAACTTACACAGCATTTACAAGTACAGTTACACCTCAATAATTCAAACCTCTTCGAGTCAAATTCTCCATTAAGTATCCGTCGGAATTCCCATAGGAACAATATGCATTAAAAATCTCCTTACTCGAATTTTCTGGAGTCCTTCTAGCAATTATTTTTGACACAAAAAGGAGATAAGGAGTACAAATTTACCTTGACGTTTTTCGAAAATAATCAAAAAACTAATTGAGAAAATTTTGAATATCCGGTCGTAATATCTCAAAATGTCTTGAATAGATATAAAACCAAGGGCACTTCTGCGTCATGACTTCCCTCGTCAACCGGAACAAACCCAACATCACCAAGTCCAATTCTGCACATTTCAACACACGAATTCGAACCACCTCCGAGCTCAGCACAGAGATCACAAAACCAATCTAATGACAAAAACCACTTCTTTTCTTCGTTTCTTCTGAAGTCAACTTCAAACAAACGGGAAAAAAGCAGAACGGGACTTCGCATGAGGTCTGCCATCACTACAGAAGTGGCAACAAACTAAGAACCCCCACCAAGAACTGAAACCCATGCTTCAGAAATTCATCAGGTTGAAGCCTTTAATCCTTGGCATCCAAAAACCGCTTCTCAACTTCCGGAACAGCGAGATTAGCATCCAATGTCATGACTTGACACCCACTATTCGCAATCCACGCCTCGTGGAGTTCATGCAAAGATTTGAGGTAGTTCAAAGAAATGCTTTGTTCTTCGGGGCGTCCCCGAGATTTGATCCGGTTGTGAACAGTTTCGGGACACGTGCGAAGATACACGATAACGTCTGGGTTCACATTTCGATTTTCGCGGATCCATTTGTACCATTCGTCCAGCACTGCGTATTCTGCTGAAGTCATGTTCCCGCTTCTGAACAGGTTCTCCACGAAACAATGACGAGCCGAGTGGATCGACCTCTCCATAACCTTCCAGAGAAACACTTCGAAATCCTCATCCGAAGTCATCACGGGATTTTAAAAACCTCACCTTTATCGGTGCATTCGCGGGACATTCGTGCACCTTGAGCATAGTGAGCTGAACATAGTGCTGGAACGCGAAACTCCATCGTTTCGGGTCAGAATAAAGCAGTTGCAAGAGATTGTGAGATCCCGAGACCCCAGGCACTGATCGCCATTCTTTCACGGGCTCTTCGAACGTATGAACATCAGCGAGCTTCTTGAAGGAATTCACGAAAGTCGTTTTCCCACTCGCAATATTTCCTTCTACACAAACGACCATCGGACGAGACATGGGCACTTTTGGAGGCATTTTGTAGGAGATCGGGCAATATTACGTCTATAGAGAATATCACGATGTCTGCGAAACGAATTTGGTGTTAAATTATCGTAGCCAAGCAGTGGGAATCGAGTCAATCAAGAAGATGGACGACAGTTAAAGTACTCAGGCTCAACCTGCTGTATTTCATTCATCATGCACTACTGGATCAGTGTCCCTCCAACGCCGACTGCCACTTGCACAGAAACCCGGCTCAACAAGTGTTCCCTCTGCAAAAAATGAAAATAAGTTCATAAAAGAGGCGCAAATCTCTCAAGATTTATATGTTTTGCTTCATCAGACATCTGGTTGGCGAAATATTTCGATTAATTCTGTTAAAAACTACCCAGATGACGTTCGAGACATTCGAAAAATGATATACTCACGGAAATGGTTGAAATAATGGTTTTTGGCGGCAAGCATTTCGGGTGAGCCTAAAACGCGAACAGGAGCAAGAAGGCCATCATCAAGCAGAAAAGACCCATGGCCTCTGACAATGCGAATCCCAGGATGGCGTAGCTGAAAAGCTGTTGCTTGAGTGACGGATTTCGCGCATAACCGATGATCAAGGAACCGAAGACACTTCCGATTCCGGCACCTGGGCGGAATTTACAGCGATTAAGAACGGTTCCGACGGAGAAACGAATTCAAGAGGAACATATTTGGTATACCTGAACCGGCGACACCGACTGTGGCGGCTCCAGCACCAATGAATTTTGCAGCGGAGTCGATATCTCGCTGCACAGCGGATGTCTGAAGGGTGTTCAAGAAGGAAAGCAACGGTGAGCTAGCAGGGAGCAAAGCTGACTCAAGTTTCCTTTCTGCTACTTGGCCCCCGTTCACGGAACTCGCCAATGGACTGGCACTCAGTCGGGCGGAGTTGATGATCTCCACGGAAAATGAATACACAATGTACACTCAGTAAAAGGAATGAATTTATCAATTCATGTATTTCGCTCACATTCCATCGTGCAACTGCAGCAGATCGGAGCATCTTGCGGCTTGTTTCTTTCGGAATAGAGACGGAAAGGCGCAAAAGTTACCGGGCAACCAGTTGCAATGACCTGAAGACGAAAAATGAAGAAAAATCGTCACCGGCTCTTCTGCCATAATTCTTCTATGTCACAGAAGTTCAACTCTCGGAATTGCGGCCCTGATTGCAGCTTTCAGAATTTCAGGGCGTTCATCTCCAAGAAAACCCGGAACCCCTACCAACACATTTCCGAGTAAGAATCCTTAGCCTACCAGAATTCCGCTTCTTGAGCGGCGGTAATGTCTCACCACAATCATTCACAGTAAAATGGCACGTCCCAGCCATAGTTTTCAAGCATGATGATGCGAAGTCTAGATGTCACACTGATCTTCGTATTGATTAGATATTTCTCGTCCTTGACGAGTGGACCAAAACCTTTGGCACTCGAAAGCTATATAACCCACAAAAATATCTAAACATATACAGTACCGTATTGAAAATTGGGGTTCAACTCACATAAAATTTTCTTATTTGCTTATCCTATTCATTTGGTTTCCTATTTCTCTCATTTAAAGTCTAGATGTCACTCTTTATCAAACGGAGGGACTATCCAAAAGGTACCGTAATGGGAAATTCAAGAAACCAATTTTTTCTTGCATATACTGTACTGTAGAACCATTGCGGTTCAACATGGGGAGAAATTCATAAGAAAAATATGTTACACTGTCCAGATAAAATTGTTGTAAACAAGATTACTGCAGCGTGGGGATGCAGTATCACAGCCCATAATAATATGTACTGTATACTGTATATGGGTTCATGACCAGCATGTGACTGCAGCAGATTAACATTTTTCTTTGTACTGAATTTTCATTAATTAACCTTTTGAAGTAGTGTATGGTATATTTGTTTGTTCAAGTTTCCAAAAGGTAGAATGAAAAAGGGGAAAGATGCAGTAAAAGTCCCTTTCAACAAATACCATACACGTTGAATCTGAACAGCATTGAAAGCAAATTAAGGAACCAGTGAAAATGTATTGTGTGTTTAGATCATGAGAATATGTATGACATGAGAGCCCTGGACACTATATATATGCTAGGACCAACAAAATTGTTTTATACAGTACTGAGACAATTCTTATTATAGACACGACTTGAGTATATAGAAATTGAGCCTCCTCGTATGATGATTTATTTGTGTCCCAGTATTTACCTTGAAATATCTGTTATACTTCGTAGTGTCTACCAATCTTGTTTGAAAGACTAATTTTTGCACCTACTCCTTGTACTCTGTGGGACAGAATTTCTTCCCCAATTCAGTGAATAAATTGACCAGAACATTTGGAGAAAATTTAATTACCTCATGCAGCATTAAAAGTCTTCCACTGTCTTGTTACAAAAATATCTTCAGCATTAAACTATTTCAGCCCCAAATATTCTTAAAATCACGAATCTTAAAGGTGCTGGTCTTGCGCATTTATACAAAAAATTCAAGGGACCCGAAAAACTTTTGTTGGGAGATAGCCCTCATGAAATTTATTAAATGCAGAAAACCATTGTAGATAAGATTGTTGTAGAGAGACCATATGTATGCCAATATTTTTGTTACTATTAAATTTTTCCAGAGCCCTGGCGATTCTTCACATTAATGTTTTACTGTAATGTTATAGATTACATAATTTTAGACATTGGGAAGGTTTATGGGATATATATATGCAGTAGCAGGATTAACTTTTGCACTTATAGTCACTAAATATGATTTAATATGAACAGAACGAAGGAGAAGAAATAACTTCACAATATTTTATTCAACAAGATCAAAAAGCACAACG